GTCCTACTGCAGCACCTGATATCACATTGCACATGTTAGTCATTGAGGTATTCTTGAATGCTATAAAAAAGTTTTTCCCCAAGGAAATGTTTAAGTTTTTTTTTTAAGTTGTACAAGCCTGTCGTGTTTCTCAATGTATTGGTAATTTGTTGAAGAATTGTATACCTGAAGAGAATGTACTCTTTTGGTATAATGTGCTTGTACACATTGGTTGATGAAGGTTACAAGCTTGCCTTGTGTTATAGGGGTGTAAGCTTGAGTTGAATTTGTAAAGTGTGTCTTTGTTTACTAGATTTTTCTTTACAATCATGATAACTTCATAAATAAAAATACAAGGCAGTGGAAGTATGTTAAGTTTTTTGAAATGAGGTCTACAGGACTCTGTTCTTTTTGTGTTATTGTTCGAATGATTCTCTTTTGTATTTTGAATGTTGGTTTAGCCTCTGGTTCTTGGCCCCATATTATTATCCCGTATTTGAGAATAGAGTGCACATTTGCAAAGTACACTGTTCATGCTGTATCAATGGTTCTGTTTCTTATTATTATTCTAACAGCATAATTAAGTTTGCTCAATTTTGAATTAATGTCTTCTAGGTGAGAGTTCCACTTGAGGTTGGATTGTATGGTGATTCCGAGAAATTTTGTTTTCTGTGCTTCTCTGATGCTGTTTCCTTCTAATGTTAAATTTGGTGAGATTTGTTGTGTTAAGTGGGAGTTATGGAAGGGTTTTGTGATTGTTTTGTCTCGGTTTAGGATTAGTTTGTTATGGTGGATCCATTGAACTAGCTAGTCGATGGGTAAAATGGCTTTGTCTTTCAAAGCATTGTTTGTTCTTTCTTTGAATATTATATTAGTGTCATCAGCAAAAAGTACGGTTTTGTTGTTTTCCATTATTGATGGCAGGTCATTTACAAATATAAGAAATAAAATCGGGCCTAGTGTGGATCCTTGCGGGACCCCATATGTCACATTCCTTGGCTCAGAGTGATGGTTATTTATTTTGTTGTCTTTTTGGTACGGTAATACTACTATTTGTTTTCGGTCTGAAAGGTATGATTTTATACAATTGTAAGCAATCCCTCGTATTCCATATGATTCTAATTTTGACGATTAATTTAATTCAACCGAACTGTATTAGGAATAGAAAATTATGCTAACATTTTTAATGGTAACCCATATCAATTACAATTTCTTAATGATTGTTATTCATTATTTGACCATATAAAAGTTTATAATGAAAGTGGACAAGACATCACTAATCGGATGAGTTTTTTCACTTATTTAAATATATCTTCACTTAAAGAATTTTGGACCTTTGTAAATTCAAAGGGAATAGCTTCATTTGCAACAAGCTAAATCAGGATGTTTTGAAAAATGTTTGGGGGCTAAGTCAGACACGGATGAACCTGTATAAATCCAACATATTTTTTTAAACAATGGAAGGAAGAACTGTGAAGAGAATTTTGAAATCATTTTGCAATATATTGGTCAGGCCAAAAAATGTATGCCTCCAGATGTAAAAGAAACCACATTAAGGTTTACATAATATGACACTAATAATAGAAATTTAGAATTAATAGAAACAAATTCTATTAGATACATTTGTGGGTATTTAATGAAAAAATGTTTAACAAGACATTGTTGCATTACTTGTAAAAATTATACAATACCTTCTGAACAGTTTGATGATGCTTCTGTGTTCTGTTTGTACAAAGCTTAAAACTACAACTTCAAATGTTGGACCACTAAATCCGCTTCATAAAAATTTTGTTCATTTCATCTGTAATTTGGAAAAAAATGTATTCAAATTTTATTTTTAAATATTGCAAATAAGGATTTTTTCAAGGATTGTTGACGTTTTATATAATTTCTACAAATTGAATTTAGCAACCATAATTTTCAAAGTACAAATCATGGAAACAAACTGATTATATAGAAGAATGGGCGATTCAGAGAAGATTATTGCATATTTGGAATATTCAGTCAAATAAAGCTATAAAATATGACCCAGTTCTTCCAAAAACTAATAGTTTCCAAACACATGTCAGCCGTTTCTAAATACAGATATACAAATCAGTTTTCTTAAAACAGTTGCTTATATCACATAAATTTTCTCTACAATTGTAGGATCTTTGTACTTTCTCGTCCTTACTTCCTAAGGGAATAGTGGGCCAGAAAATGGCGAATTTTCGACCTAATAACTTTTATTGCCCGGCTCTGGAAACGAAAAAGTATATAAATATTGTTCCTATGTTTTCTATACACCTTGAGTGGTTAGAATCCATGTTTTGTGGGTTCTTGATACTGAAAAACGTCCATCTGAGTTTCAAAAGAAAATTTTGGTTTTGGGGGACTTCTCAATATTTTCAAAATTTACTCAAACATGGTTCCAATTTTTTTTATAAAACGTTGTCTTCAGATAGTGTAAAGGACACTTTAAAGAATAGTGCTGGTACCGTTTTTGTTGAAATCCCTGATTTTTCGAAATTTGTGGAAGTTCAAAATTGTTTTTGGCGTCTTTGTACAATATATAATAATAAAGATAGAGATTTGTTTCTGCAATGACATCTGTTCTTTAAAAATAGATCTTGAAATATGGTCATATACAATTTTTTTAAAAATATGAATAGTTTTTGTACAAGTTTCCCTGAAATTTAGGCAAATTTTAAGCCACCATTTTTAAATGTTGCAAGTTAATGTAAATTTGAATTCCACGTTTTTCAATATGTTTAGCTAATTATCAGAAAAAAATGTGCCTTAACGAGTGTAGGATTGACGTTTTTAAAAGCTGAAGAAACGTTTTCAAGAAGTGTGGTAATGGCAACAGATTCTGTAGAATATTAGTAAGATGAATGGAGTCAGTGCTACTATAATATTATTACCCCTGAATGCAACAAGATAAATTTTACTTGTAATGTGGATGTTATTTGATACTACAAAATTGAAATGGCGTTTTGTGTTTTAAGCTTCTTGGTGAGTTTTCACAAGATAGCTGAATTATAAGAAATACACAATTTTCAATATTATTATACTTCTATATAACTGTTAAATAGTATATTAGAATATCTGTGCTATATTGTTGCTCCGCTATTAAACTATTCCGTACTTTGTGCTAAGACAATGTTTTGTTCTGAGTTAAAAATCAATTTTTCTATTAATTCTTCATAACTGCATAATTTATTCAAATGAAAGTAAATGTAATGTACCACAATATTGAAGTGTTTTTGAGTATGGTGTTATTTTAAATACTAATTGAGTGAAAGATTGATAAGTGGAAATGCAAAGGATTTTCAAATATTATTTAAATTGTCACTTATTGAGATAAGAATTTTAGAATATGTACCCTTATACAATTTTATTAAATATTTGACAGGATATTCTACAATGACTAGTTATTCCTAAAATATATTCCCCATTTAAAGTTTGATTTAGGGACTTCCTTGTTTTAAAATTCTTCCAACAGCTTTGAACAGTGCCATGTACTATAATTTCTTATTTTGTACTTTCTGGTAAGATTCGTTGTACGTAATCACTTCAAATAATTTTACTGAATAATAAAGTGGAATAAAAGGCCAAATTTAGCTTTCCCGGATTGCGCCCCGCTCGTCCGCTGAAACCCGATCGCGATTTACGGCGCGGCTAGAGATTTAGGGACGGGAAAGGCTACAACGGAACTTTTACCCTGCCGGCTTCGCCTTCGTGCGCCGATCGCTTCTAGCTTGACTGCGTTCGATCTGGTCGGTCGGAGCCAAGAGTGACATGCGGCCTCGGGTCGCAGGGGAAGACATTGGGTGCAACTTACAAGACAGTGTTCAGATCCTTAATAGCTTCTTTATGTTTGGAAGATTAATCAAAATAATTCCAATAAATGTCAAGAAAACATCGCAACATTCCCATCCTGCGAAAAATCTTTTTCTCATATGCTTGCGTTTAACAACACTAGTCCCTGGCGAAAACAAAAATAAATCGTATTTCGCTCAAATAATATAAATACACACACACACACACACACAAAATCCTTCAAAATTCATTTACCTTGTGTTTCATAGTATTGTTACATTTTTTATTGAATCCCTGGCCTAAGCTACATCCCTGCCCGTATGTGCAAGAGTAATATGTCCTAAAATATTTTCCCGCACTGTAACAGCTTTTAACATTATTTATAATTACTTAGTACCTTTTCAAACTACCTTTGTGACCTCATAATTCAAATTATTTCGAATTATTCGGGTAGTGTGGTAGACTTATCGACCTGAAATGATGCCCTCGTGCGAAAATTTCTAGCCTTTCCAGTACGCCGATGGCGCAGAATCGCAGTCCCAGCAGCCGCTCCTGCCCAAAGATATTAAGACCCATTCACAATGCAAACGTAAACATAAGCATAACGCATAGACGTAAACATAAATATCTTCCTTCTTGTACGTCAAGCAGTAAGGTGGCGAACCCATCCCCAAGCTAAACTTGCCCAGCGATCTTAACGCGGCCAGGGGATTTAACTTATTACCGGTAGAAACCATAATAGCCTCGGAAATGGATTCAATTGTAATATTTTTTTATCAATAATACAAGAAAGCATGATCTGATGCATCACTAGTATCTTATGATTGTAAACGATAACTCCTACTTAGAGAGAGCATAATTTCACACACACATTTACTACCAAATTACAAGTAGAAAGGAAAAACGAAGGAAAGGAGTATATGTAATTAATGAAACATTTAAGCATAGATAATACGAGAAGTTATTACCAAATTTATCTCATTCCAGTTATGATAATTTTGAATGGGATACGAAATCTTCTGACTAAACAGTTCGATATGAACAGAAAATTTTCTCACCATAAGTAGAATTTGAACTATATGCCTTTAAGAGATTATGAAGCATAAGCCAAGCAAATACACAAAACTATATTTTGGTATATAATGGAATGAGCTAGCTTTGTTAGTAAATACTTCATAGAATAGGATAAGTGAAGGTACTAATAAATATACAAAATATACTAATGTTTTAAACAGTTTTTATTCATTTATGAAATATTAATGACAAACCTTGTCACATATTGAGCAATTGTATTAAAAAATTACAGTTTGCAACTATATTTACTGGCAAATTCTTTCATAATTAATTTAAAGTGAAATAAAGAACAAATTAATCCACAGCAAAATATTCCTGTAAATTACTTCCATAGAATAGCATCCACAATTTCTTGAATTATGCCAGAAATACAGTGTATAATTTATTATTGCCATTTCATGTGCTTTAATATTAATATATTGAAGAAAAGTCTCAATTATTTAGACTTCTGAAATTACATGTTCCAAAAAAAGATAAAACAATTGAAAAGGAAGCCTTACACCATCACTTACCAACAGCTTTACATCACTTTTACAAGTAACAATATATCAGTCTTATCAGGTTCTAGTTACTGGCATGGGAAAAGATATGTATTTATGTAACACTAGCAACAGTTAGTAATTAAATTTTAAGAGGAAGACAAAAAAATCTGGTCATTAATAGTAATCTTACTTTTAACTACTTATTGTGTAAAAGTTGTGTTAATAAAATTTCTACAACAGTCTTTAGAGAGTATGAAACTAGTTTCAAAATGAGAAATTCAATTTTGGTCAAATATTGAGTAATAAGAGTTGCATGCCTTTACACATAAAATACAGTGGTGATATAATAAAAATATAAAAATCACAATTTATTTTCAAAGCAGCAAATTGATGCTACAGAGCTGATGAATTTAATTTAATTTCACGTATATGTACATCAAGGCATGCAGATTTACAGTAATATGAACATTTATGTAGAATATATCAGTATCAGAATTGAAGCTTTATTCCTAATTATTAACAATTTCAAATTAACCTTTCTATTTCTATTAATGACCAAATAACAGAGGAATAAATTCATTTCTTGAACAATTTTTGACATTTGTTTAAGGAATATATATGTAATGCACATTTATGAAATCAACTGACAATTACAAGAAACATGTAAAAATGTGGTAAATCTCAATTACACATACAAAACAGCACAAAATAGGTTGTAAATGCAATATACGAGTTTATAAATCATGAAATGTCTGTTCTTCCACTTCAAAATTAACAAATTTAGAAGTATATGAACACCTACACAGCAGTTTTAAAATTTTATAAAAGATAAATAAATACATTTGCGTAATATTTAAGGTACCATTAGTAAACTGTTTCAATTATATATTTTTAATTACCACACCATTTTTTATCATCAAAAATTAGTCACAGCTCTTTCTAAAAACTTCTTCTCCTGAAGAACTTTGTTCAAACCTGTGTGAATCTTGTGCGATTGTTGCAATATACATACTGTACATTATAAAAGTTTCCAATCATTTGTCATATTGGTGTACAGAAGTTACAAGACCTAGAAAACCACCAATGACGTCTCTTACAAGCATGTGCAATGTATTCATATGTATTACTAACCCCTTTTACAATAAGATACGATTACAATATCTAATACTGCAACTGTAATAAACAGTATTGTGAAAAGTGGAATTATAACAGAACATATAGTGTTAGAAATTCATATTAAATTAGAAGAATATTAAGAAACTTTTCTCAACCAAATGAGCACTACATGGATTATGGTACAATTACTTCTTTAAGTTTACCAGTTCAGGGTTTTTGTTGATGCTGTTCTTGATCACATTTATTTGCTGTATTAACACTTTCAAGGGAACAAAACTGTTTTACAATTATACAAATTAATAAGAACAAATTCACACAATTTGAGATTGACCTCAATATATAACAACCTTTACTGTAGATAGAAAATATAAAAATGTAAAAAGGATAATGTTTAATTTTGACGGAGGAAGAATATTTTTTAAGTAAAACAATGCTATATAGGGTAATTCAGAACATTTTGAACGCATTTTTGGAATATTTCTCATTATCTGAAGATTTCACAGTTCAAGAACATATTGTAAACGATATTTACTCGAAACAAAAATAATCTTTAGATTAGAATGTTATTTGCACAGATCTTTAACAAAACACAGGGAAAGTATTCTTTTTCACACATCGCAGTCAAGGTTTGGCTACTTTTATGAACATATTTGATAGAAATAGAAAAATGCAATTAATTTTATTTTTTAAAAGAAATTGCAAAACACAATGGTTTGGATGATCATCTTCAGTAAGACTCAGAATCATACAGAAAACTGGTAAGTGAAATTTAATGTGAAAACCCGGTTATACATTCTGGCCCCAGAATCACAAGGTTATGACATTTTCTGGTGAAAATTACGTTTTGACATGTTCAAATTCTCTATTGTCAGATTCCAATATACTGGAAGATTTTTACTTGCTTGCATTACAACACTTCAAGTCTTTTTGGCACCAAATGAGGGATAATCCTTCTTGAACATATGTCAATCATACATCAAAATGTAAGTCATTGCCTTTTATCCCTATCAGCCCGTGTTAGTATCCGGTTTTCCTAGACTATCGCCCATCCAGAGACCTGCATTGTCTCAAGCTGATTAACTTCCACAACTTCACAAAGTTGGCTACTGGCCCAGGTTTCAAATTACACTTTCAGAAAATGAACAAATGATATAGTAAAAATTTCATGGCCACATCCAAACTCTCTAAATACTCTCCTGTAAAATTTCTCCAGTGTCTGATACAACCTTGTCATTCTGAGGCTGCGAAATATTGAGAAAGCACAGGAAAAGAGATTTCTATCGATTCCATTCCTGAATCTTCTTCCATCACTGTAATGTGAATATCAAAGAAATAAATTAACTGGATTACAATAAATAGAAATCATATCATTAGAATCAATTTTAAATTTAAAAAAAATATTGCCCCAAGTGTAGAAGCTTTAGTAGGGAGTTCTTTGTAACCACAATCAATATGCTAAACTTATTAACATTAATTGTTGTGATTTATTGTAAAATATTCAAATCTTATCTTTGCAATAATTCTCTACAATAAAATGTATGAAGTTTTTCATCATCACTAATAAAAATGCACATAACAGATGAAAGAAGTTTACATGTATAAAAGTAGGATAAGAACCGACTGCAAACAAATTAAAACAGACTTGCACCAAAGTGAGACAAGTAAACTGTTTATACATTGTTTATCTAATACAAATAAATACTACACTACATTACACATTGAATGTAAGCAAATATTCATCACTACAATATTGGGATGCTACATAGAATTTTACAGTAACCTAAAGTTGTACAAGGAAGAATGTCACTAATTTTATAAGTTTTGTAACTCCTTTAAAATTTAGAATTTAATTTTTCACTGGATACACAGTTGCTCAAAGAATAGGTTTTTGACATCTACAGAACAAGCGCAGATGGCATGAATCTTCCAGTAAATAAAATTAGTGGAAGACAACAGTGAGGTAGGAAGACACATGAATAGTTGCTGATATATACAATGTGAGGGAGAGACAATATTTTACTTTCAAAATACTTGGTTGTGACTTCTGAATACTGTTACAACCAGATGCATGATTATTCTGTGAAGGAAATAGCTCTGAATATTTTGAAACAAAATCATTTAGTGTGCAAGATAAACAACTATGATCAGAATTAACTTTTGTAAAAAGACAAAAAAGCAGAAAGGTTTCATTCAGTGATGTAAAATCTGAAAAAATACAATGAAGGTTAATAATACTAAAAATAATAATAATCACAATAATAATTTAAAAAATAACATGGTACCAAAATTACATGAAAAAAATAAAAAGAAGGGTAAAAAGTCATAGTAAAGTTAGTTACTGAGGAATCCATAATATAAATCAAACATACATATTATGCTCCAGGAAAGTTTCCCAAATACAGGATATTGGACAATGAAATATAAATCTACAAAATCAAGTGTTAGCAATAAAAAGAAAATGAGGTTTTTTTAAATTGAACTATTCTATGATAGTGATGCAAAATTAAGCATGCACTATTCAGTAGTTAAGTTTTCGATAACAATTTTAGATATGCACAATAAAGTTGGAGTAGTTTAGAACATGTTGAATTACAGTATTTCTTGGAGTCCTAGGAGCGTATTTTGTAGACTTCAGATAGCTGATTAAAAACAGCCAGATCACTCTCTCAAGGTTGTAACTTAAAGTTAATATTTATGTAAAAGTAATACACACCAACCAGTTCTTAACTAGATTACTGTTACATGCCGCATTCCTAAAGAGTATTCTGCAACACCAGACAAGGGCTTCAGACAATACTGTTGCAGGACTATGGTTTTCCTAATCCCAATTAATATAATTTAAAACAACATTTTCATTGTACTATTAAGAAAATTAAATTTTCTTTCTTTTGTAGCACAAAAAAACAAACAACAACAATATTTCACCCTAGGATACATTGATTTCGCTAATTCTTCTCAACAGATATCTTTAAAAGCCAGTAGCCCATTAATGGAGTGTTTAACTGCATGATGTAGCTTAAAGAATGTTTCAACAGCTAATGAAAACATTTTTGCCTGTAATTATTCCTTTTGAAAATACAATGCATTGTATTTTGCAAAAATGGATTTTCTTCTACATTTCTAAACAAAACATTTATCTGCATTCCTAGAGCTACACTTCACCAATTTCAATGGGTATAATTTAGGCTACTTTTGTATTTTATATAAATTTATTTTCATTCCAATCTTAATGCAATGTTGTAAACTTAACATTCAAAGCAAGACAAAAGTTAGTGTACGTGATATCTCATAAAACTAAATTCATATCTCTTTTCCGCCCCTTAAATCAGAATTTGAGTGTAGACTCAAGAGTTGAGACAAAAGTTCTCAAGAATGTTTTGAAATGGTGATGAAATCTGCTAAAGTCGTTAGGAAAGTTTTTGAAAGCTCACTAACTTTACTACAAAATGCATTTTGATTAAATCTTTAAATTATGAAAACAGAAGTGTACATAAAATTACAACTTTATGTAATATTTTGTAAATTCCCATGATCATTTTAACTGAATGACTTTAAACCAAAAATAAGGTTATTTAACCAACTTCACATAAAATGAAAAAAGAGAAAAATTGACAAAAAGTAACATGCAATGTTATAAATTCAATATGATTTACTATTTTTCTGCTAGCAGATTTTATCTGCCCTCATCATATGTCAAATACTGTAGTTTTGTTTCTAACGAGAACCGTTTCTTAAATAAAAAATAAAAGAAATAATGTAAGCAATTACAGCTTTAAAAAATAATTTAAGCTTCTTGAATCCACAGAAATACAATTGATTTATATTTAAATTATTGTGATATTTCCTATTATTGTGCAATATGCTTGAGCAGAACTTGTAGTAGAAAATTAAAAAGCTGTTTCAGGGTTGATCATAAGTTTTAGTCCTCCTTAGCTATCTGTAAAGATTTGAGAATATACAGGTATGAAAGTAGACAAGAAAAGATGGAAAATATTTTCATCCAAATTGGTTATAAGATGAGCAACCATGGAACACAGTTAGTTTGCAGAAGGCAGAGTTCAGTCTTGAAAAGTGAGGGCACCTAAAGCTTAGGACCCAAATTAGCAGATAATCTCCATCCCTTCAGAAAAGGACCACTTTCTTAAGCACAGTCAAATCATGTGCCTCAAGACTTCTCTTAAGTATCAAACTTGTCTCAGTAAAATGATAAATTAAGATTCCAAATTTAACTAATATTGGAATACACTTTTGTCCCTTCCCTGAAAATGGTTTTATACCATAGTATAAAAAGTACAAATACTTCATTTTTAACAAGGTGATCATTTACATCATAAATAATTAATTCCTAGTTTTAGTGATCACAAAATATCAAGAGATTATCTGCTGCCTTCACATTAATATTCTCAAGGAAGAAGAGGCAGAAAATTGCAAATTGGCCAGGATTAAAAATACCCAGAATAAATAACAGAATATTGTCTCGTAACCTCTACAAGAGAAAGAACAGCAAACTATAACCTTTTCTCTCTCATTCCTTATTTCATAATGTATATATTTCATTCTAATCTAAACAATCAACTCTGCAAATTCTATGTCATTGAATCAATAAAAAGTACATGCAAATAACAACAATCATCATACACGAAAACCTTAGGGTTTTACTAACACATCACTTTTTTCTTCTTTTTTTTTTTTCCTTCAACACATCTTTATGAACAACCTTTCATAATTTATATCTTATGTACATATTTCTCATTTTGGTATATTTTTATGTCATTTATTTATTTAAAATTTCTGATATATCAATTTCTTTCACTGCCCAGAGGAATATGTACAATAAAAAAAATGTATCAAATTAAAAATTGGACGATACAAAATAATAGTTACCAAATTACGTTCAGCACTAAATACTTTTAAAATAACATAGGTAATTGAATGAAATCAAGAAAGATAGCTGAATATGATGTAATTGTCTAGTATAAATCAGGTTTTTTCAATATACACAACGAAATTAATGATACATAATAATATACAAAAGACCCTCAAAAAATTTCTTTATCGATAAATAATATTATAAATCTAAAATAATATTCATGTTTTTTATGATCAAATCCCAGCTCCTTATGAGCACACTCCAGAAACATTTAAAAAAGTGATTAAGTTATGGGGTCTTCACCATGGAAGAAAAAAGTTTCATTTTTCATATTCTCGGAAGCAACAGAATAAATCAGAAAACTGAATAAATTTCTACAGTCTGTTGAAGTTTCGCCTTCAATTGTAGTTCCATTTACAATCCTTCCCAGGCAACAAATTGAACAAAATGAACTACAAAGCTTGCTCTCACTGTCATCTTTGCTCAATCCCCCAGTTCCCATCTTGAATCAGTTGCATTGATGCAGATGGTATCCCATTGAGGCAGTAATGATGCACACCACTCTTGTAGTCCCCTTTTGGTATAGTCAGACAAATAAGTAACACATAAACGTACTTTATTGACTGTCTTGGAAATTTGTTTAAAAATATTTTGTAATTAAATCAGGAAACCTATATTTGATTTTCAGCAAAATATTACTAGTAACAAAAAAATGTAAAATTATATTTAGCCTGATTCTTAAATTTTTTAGAAATGAATGTATTACATGAGATTTATGTTATAAATTATCACTCAAAATAAACATAACAAAGAAGTGGCCAATTAAATTGATATACAGGCTTTAACTTTTGAATCAAATATTTCATTAACATCAATTTTCTGACTTAAGAATAAATGTACATAAACTTACAATTGGTTCCATAGTCATTGAACAAACTTGATAAAAATATTCATCAACATAATCATTAAATTTGAAATTTCATAAATATTATTTTATTGTTTCAACTTAAAAAAGAACAGAGGCACCTGAGGCAGTTCTCCACTTCTACCCACCATGACACCACATCTAAATTATTCATATCCATAAATAAAAGGAAAATAGCATATTGTTATTTTTATATCATACACACAAAATATTTTCCCATAATATCATCTGAATTAATATTTTTCAACAACCTACTCCTAAATTCTGGGAACAGATTACGAGAGTGAGTGATCCAAAGCATTTACAAAACCATGAAATGTCTCATTCAATTTGTTATTTACTCAATATCTGAAGAAAGATTACAACTGCTATAAAAGTTTTATTTTGATGGCTGAAAAAACTTTGAACATACACGCAATGCAAACATCCACCTATTCAGGCATGTACTTTGCTTCACAACTGATAACTCTGTTTCTTTTTGTCTTTAAAAAGTGCATAAATACTCCATGATTCAGTGCAATGTAATTTAGAAGTCAAAACAACATTATCTCAGTTTTCACAATTCTATTTTACTATATTAGACAAACTAAACATTTACATAAATGTGATCTTGTTCTTGGTGAAATATCAATGAATGCAGCAGTAGTGTGTATACACTATTTACAGAGATATGGTATGCAAGATTGATCCAGACTTGCAAGATGGAATATTCTAATGAATAGAAAAGTAATATTTTTTAATGGAGATTTCAGACAGGCGTTACCTCAGCAAACAAAGTCATAAACTGAACAAAATTGCAAGATTAGAAATTTCTTTGCAATTATCTTTGATACAACAATTTGTACCAACATGAATGAACAAGCATTTACTAATCTAAATAATAATAGAGTCGCATATACAATTTCAATTGTGTATAACAACACAGATATGATGTATGCAGGGGCACAGGTCTTACTGAGCTCCAGATTTCCTACCTTCTCTTACTGCACACTATTATGAGTAAAGGGAAACGCAGCATTTGAATACAAGAAATGTTCACCTGTGCGTGAAAGAACTGCAAGTGACATTCAGTTTTGATTTTGAATACACATGGCACTAATTACTATGATACAATTTCATTGCAATTATTTATTTTCCATAGCCCTTTTTCTATTTCATAATTTCACAAAACAAAACAAGAAATATTTTTCATGTAATACTATTTTACTGAAGATACTTCCAGAGGAAATAATAAAAATTACGAAAGAAAAGTTCACATCTTTGATTGAAGTACAAAACAAAAATATATTATTTATGCTAATGTTAAACTTAATACTTTTAACAATCTTTTCTATGGAGCTAATATAATTCACAGGATATTTTCAAAACAAGCATGTCATGAGCTTTATATTTATATTCAATATCCTCCAACTGAGAAAAATATCCTAAGTAATACTCTCTAATATGACATGAAATGGAGAACCAGACACTGCACTGAATCATCGCATAATGTACTTTATACACATGATAAAAGAGGAATTTGTTTGGAAATTTAATGCAGTTGTTCATTATTTTCTGGCATAAAGCAATACTGTAGAACTCCAATTATCCAAATCTCCAATTATAAAAATCAATTTAAGGAAAAAAAGGGAGGTGGAAAAGTAAAAATTGGGAAATTATGTACTACCTTACTGTACGACTTAAGCAAGTCGTTTAAACCGGAACTTTGCGCCATTTGGGTGAGAGGGAAATCCAGGGCCCAAGCCCTGCAGGGGCAAGGGGTTTATGAGGGGAATCTTCTGGTGGGGAGGGGCAGTGAGCAATGTACGTAAGTCAGTAAATACTTATAATAAACAATGTCAAATATATTTTAATGATTTGTAACTGATTACGAGGCGATTTCACAGTAGTGTTTTGACTGAGCTCCCTTATCAAATAATGCTACAATCATGGTGGTGTACCCCTGTAATTTTGTATGTTGAGGTAGCTGTTGAAGGGCTGCATTGCTGTCGTATAGTTACGTTTCTTGTTCTCTCTGATTCTTTGTGAATTGTGTCAAGCGTTTGTGCTAAGACTGTGAGAATAAATTTTTTTTTACGCATTACACCGAATATGCAGTGCCAGAGCTAGACAATTCTGGGTCTGGGGCAATGCCGAAACCCTCCCTCCAATTCAAAATGTGAAAGTTGTATCAAACTATTTCAACAAATTTTCTTCAACTGAGAACAAAAATCTACAATAATTAAGCTAGAAAAAAATGTTTGGAAATATATTTTAAATAATAGTTTTAAGTAAAAGTATTTAGTAATCAAGTAATACAATTTTAACTGTAAGCTCAGACCTAAAAAAATTGTGTTTAGTTAGTGTTTAATAAAATTACTTGTTATATCCATTAAATAATGAATTTGAATTACAGTAGAATCTATTTTAATGTTTAAACCTCATTTGATTCATTTCATATAGTCCTACCTTACAAGTAATGATTATGAGTAGGAGACGGATATTAATGAACCGCCTTTTTTCTTTTCACTTTAGAACAATAGAAATAGAAGAAATTAATTTTACGTTGTGAGAAAAAGAAATTACCCATTTTCATGTCAGGGTTGTTATTTTTTATTTTGAGTAATAAGAAATTTTTTACCTTTCCCCATCATTTTTAATGCATTTTTCTCTGATTTTATCGATTTTAACATCATTTTAATTGTATTTGCTTCAAATATTATTTACAAGGTGCAACAAATGTTCCCTACATAATTCCTGAATAGCTAATTCGATTTCTTCGCCCAGAAATGATGTCAGCCGATCCTGTGATAACTATTTAGCGCCATTATCGGCAGATTTTGGGGTAGCTAATGATAAATTTCCTGGAAAAGAACAGTCCAAAGAAAAAGTTTGCCTGCCAAGTGCACTTGAACGAATAAAAGCAGCCTCGAGTACATCAGTAACGTATCCAGATTGAGTTGTTCACCTGAGGCGGTTTTGATAACATTTTTTACATTTTAAAAAACATTTTACAAGCATTTTACAAGCATTTTATAGTTCAATTTTGGTAATGTTTTAGGTCACCAAAATTCGCTATCAAATTATGACTAATTATGGTAAGAAATAAATTGAAAATTTTATAAAATATCAGACTGCTGTACCGCAATGTATAAAATTATGATCACAATTTTCCCAAGTACTAATTTATTTTTCAATTTTCCCCCATCAATCCCAACATCGGGCCCCATGACTTCCAGGGCCCGCGATTTCTCGATCTACCCATGCTAAGCCGGAACTGGCAGCAAGAAAGGGGCCCACTTCTTACAAGTGTTCTGTACAGGAGACAGGATTAAATACATTAAATAATTTATTGTTTGGAATTATATTAATTACTATTTTAGTCAACTGAGAGGTTTTTGTCATCCGTTGAGGGAGTCTCCAAACTTTACAACACGTGAAAGTCGCCTACGGTAAGTTTTATTAATTTCTTTCAGAGCACTTAGCGCAATTTGAGGGAGGGTTTATGGAGACTCCCTGCCCTCCTTAACCCTTCCACGGGCAAGGGCATACAGTGATTTCTACTTCATGAAGTAAATTCATAAAAGTAACCTCTTTTGAGGTAACTAAAATGGGGTACTACATAAGCACATTTGTACTTGAAATACACCTTTAAACACAATTTAATTTGTGTCTTCTTTCCTAAGTAAACCTTACAATATTTACAATTTACAGTACTATATGAAGTTTTTAAAACTCAATTTCATGAATTAAAGTTTTTTCCGCCTAAAGATGTTTTTGTTTCATCTCTGAGGATTATTCAATCATTTGAATTTCTAAACATCTAAATCAGTCAAATTCTCAATTAATTTAACTAATTTGGAGTTCTACAGCACTTGCAAATTATTCAGATTAAAATAATGACTTCTGGAAAAAGCAGAGTTTCCCAAAGTGTGAAAGAAAGTTCATAGTTATCACAAATGCATCAAATTCTGAATTCGCAACAACAAGACTTGAAAGAATTTTATATTTGAGAGAGATACTCATTGTAACAGCAAAATTGAAGTGGTGGTGATGATCGTGACCAAGATACATTGTTTACTAGCATTGTGACCTCATTCATAACTATCCCTGGTCCAAAGCAAAAACCTTTTGAGGCAAGTATATTTTTCTTCATCATTTTCCGTTCCCAAAATCATCAACTGAAGTAGTCTTCATATATTACATTTGCACGTTTATGGCAGTTGTTCGATATGTTTCCTCAGGGCGCACTTCTTTTGCATCTTGCTTATTTCATAAAAGATATTTTAAGATACCTAGAAACTTAGCTTATAGCAATGAATTACAGCATACAACATTCAGTGCTAACATGAAGTAAAAGTTTCCCTTAATTAGAAAGAAGCCTCAGCATAACAGTAATTAGTCAGGTACCTCATGCCTATAGTTAGGGAAATTATTGATTATTGCCCAGACAAATATATAGCTTACTTTTTTCATAAATATAATATTTTATATACTCTACAGAAGACAACAAATTAAATGCTTCTATTGTTATAACCTGAGGACTGTAACATACCATTTACACTTTTGTCTACATTAGAACATGAAAATTTTACTTATTTAGTAAAATGCAAAATAATTGTACTGGCAAGATATTGTATTTAAATAAATTATAATTCAAAATCATTCTCTTCATTCTGAATTTGTAATATTATTCTGGGTGACAATTTTATGCTTCAGTGAACCCATTTTGCCCTGAACTAGTTTCAATTGAAGTCTCAATGAATCTGAAAGTTGTTTTTGAAGCTGTTGGACTTCTGATATTTCTCGTCGTAAGTTTTCATATTCTTCTTTCACTTGGTTAACACTCCGTAAAAGTTTCAAGATGGATACCTTTAAGCAAGAAAAAATACTTGCAAAGTAAAGAAAATACTAAATCAAAATAAGCCTCCTACTGAAATTATTTACATAACTTGTAATAAAACCTTATTTGATCTATTTTACAATTTCAATTTCAACATTTCTTCACTAACCCAAATTTCTGACATCCTACAAATTAACTTACATTTGAAAACTGCATTAAATATAAACTGCAGTTCTTAGAACCAACCTAATTATCTGGCATGGCAATCACAGACACACATACAACTCTAAGCCCAAATTACATGGGCGGCTAAAGTAAGCACTGATAAATGCAAAACACTGTTATATCAAATGGTTATATTGAAATTAATAAGCTTAATATTTGAGCAAATGTCAAAGGCAAAATTTGTGCTAACTAATGCAAGGGTCATGTACCCCTTTTAATATAAAGCAAATGCCATGCTTATTGCAAACCGAATGTCTGGTAAATTGCCACTCCTAACTAGGGCCCCGGTTACTTAATAAATATTCCGACACACTGGGATAAAATAAAGCATACCTCCGTACTATCCACCCATTTTAATTCATTTTCATATTGCTCTATCTTCCATGCAATCAGATCCAATTTATTGTCAGCATTTTGGACCTGCGGGGAACACACAATCACTATGTCACAAAAATAATAAAATAGGCAGTCTAAAGCGTGCAGATATCGGAAGCAGAAAACATAACATCGCGGTAATAAAAATTACATCACAGCAAGTTGCTTACCGACTGCTCCAGACTCTCAGCTGCTTCTTTCATCTCCATCTTATACAAATCGTTTTCGTTTCAAAACGCACGAAGTTAAATGAAAACCAACCAGAGCACGCGGTGACAACCCAATACACACGTATCCCTTACCCACCGCTCCTTGACAGAACAGGATCCTCACCCGCCGAAGCCGAACCAGCCAGAATCTCTCGATCGAATTCGTTCAGTGACGGGTTGCCAACTATACATAAAACATTGTCTATGCAGTAAGTAGGTAAAAAAATAATAATAAATCGCAAAACAATACCAGTAGTCACTGAAACTCTAACATGCTCGACTAAAATATGTATCTGCAATTTTTCAACGAAAAACACATTTTCTTATTTATTTCGTGAAAAAACATACCCAAGCGAATTCGACATTGGAATGTTGATACTCCGACATTTTAATCCGTGAACAAATGCATATTACTGAGGCGCGATTCAAGAGCTTATTCAAGTTGGCTTATCAATTATAACTGTGTAAGATTCATGTATCGCTTTTTTAAAAGAAATCAGCAACATCAATTTAGAGATCGGATTTTTATTTAATTACATATTTTTTATCTTTCTACTTACCGTTCTCAAAATTATTAACTTTGCGAATCGTCGCCGTCCTAAAACAACATCCAATTGTTTTGTTACGTATTTGCATATATTTAAAACTGTGTTACATATTTTCCTATTTTCACAAAGTATTTTTATTGTATCAATTTTCTTCTATGTTATACATATTTTTTATGAAAAGAAGTATTTTCAAAAACTCAGAATGTTTTCCTGCATATTTACTAAATGCTGTCGAATGGAGATGCGCTTCGTTAAGACGTGGTCAGACGTTCTTACAGTCCGGCTCTGGTCCGGCGTGCCTCCACCTCAGTGGCAGAAAGTGCCCGTCAGCTACAAATCTGAGATCATTTTACCCTTAGGGGTAGACAGAATCACTGACGCCAGGTTTCATGATCTCTAACATTAATTTCTGAGAAACTTTAGAAATTTTCACCTTTAGGGGTAGACAGAATCACTGACGCCAAGTTTCGTGGTCTCTAACATTAATTTCTAAGAAACTTTGGCGATCGCCGACCTGGAAACACTTTGATGAGAATGCTGCGCGCTGTAGCGATTGTTTGCTGGTTGTAGATATCACTACTCAATATACAATATACAAATCTGCTTCTCTTTAGTAGCTTAGTAGTCATGTAAATAAGTAAGCCATGCATAATTTTCCATAAACACTAATTTGCATAAAGTTAGTATGTATACAATTTTTTGTATTGGTATAATAAATATGTGCAACGTGCACGTTATCTAAAATAATTTTCAAGAAAAGAATTAAGTACTGATTCAATTACTGATGTTTATGGTGATTATTTATTTTTATGATAGATTCGAAGCAAACTAACTTAATAATTATTGTAGTAGCTTACATCTATAATCAACGCTACTTCAGCCGGGATATCAAACTGAGCAATTCTCTCTTCTCTTCGTGAATATTTTTTATTTTAACTTTCTACAATTCTCCTCCTTAGCCCATTCACTGAAGGGTTTTTCGTCAAATCGGTGGCATCGATGAAAACGCCAAGCAAAATATAAAATAACAATACATTCTCAAAACAAACCACAATTGAATTTGCTCGCAGAACAAAAACTTCGAAGTAAGTACGCGCTAGCATAGGGGGTGACAGAGAGTATATATGGGGGGTAATTTACATACGGTTGGTATGGAAAGGACAAGTTAGTTTAGCCGAATGTCCTGCAGATGTCTCTGGCAGATTCGACGTGGTGCTGCTTCGCTTTGCTCCATCATGAACTCAACAGAGCTGACCAACATACACACATGTACCCTTACTTGTGACACGGAATAGTACTGAAACGTTTCATTGTTCTATAGACAGGATTCTTCGAATTCCTTTTAGTTCTTTCTCCTATTCCAAATGATAGGAAATTAGTGATGGACAACCATTAAATATCACCACAAAACTGAAGAAGTGTGTGTAATTTTAGTGTTAAGAAATATGAAAGTGATCAGTGGATTTGCGAGCGTGAGATTAAAACAAAATTGAACGATCTTCGGTCGAGCCTTCAATTCAACAGGACGTGACCGCTGTATTACTTACTAACGTAAGAAGAGAAAGTATTCTAATCGTGCACCGGAAAACGGCGAATTTTCGACATAAAAACTCTTATTGCCGGGCCCTGGTAAGGAAAAAGTAGATAAATCCAGTAAAAAAAGAAAGAAAGAAAAAACCCTCTAACACGTGGTGCAGCCAGAATTCATGTTTTGTGCGTCCTTCGTACCGAAAGATCGATTGAAGGCAAAACGTCTGCCTATCCATCCGTCCTGCACAATGCTAACGCATAAACCGTCCGGCCGATTTTCTCCAAAATTGATATTCCCTAATCGTTCTAGCTGATGAAGCGGCCCTGGAATTTGAAACCGAAGTTGTTTTTTTTGAGAGAGAGAGAGAGAGAGAGAAGAGAGAGAGAGAGAGAGAGAGAGAGAGAGACGAGGAGAAGAGAGAGATGAGAGGAGAGCAGCAGAAGAGAGAGAGAGAGGACGAGAGAGAGAGAGAGAGAGAGAGAGAGAGATGAGACGGAGAGAGAGAAGAGAGAAGACGAGAGAGAGAGAGGAGAGAGAGAGAGAGAAGGAGGGAAGATCGGGAGAGAGAGAGGAGAGAGGAGAGAGAGAGAGGAGAGAGAGAGAGAGGAGAGAGAGAGAGAGAGAGATGAGAGAGAGAGAGCAGGAGAGAGACGAGAGGAGAGAGAGAGAGAGAGAGAGAGAGTAGAGAGAGAGAGAGAGAGAGAGAGAGAGAGAGAGACGAGAGGAGAGAGAAGAAGAGACGGAGAGAGAGAGAGAGAGAGAGATGAGAGGAGAGAATGAGAAGAGATCCCCCGAGTGGACCGGAGAGGAGACGACGATGCTTTAGCACGAGAGAAAGAAGATGAGAGAGAGAAGAGAAGAATCTGAGAGAGAGAGAGAGAGAGAGAGAGAGAGAGATCAGGAGAGAGAGAGAGAAGAAAAGACAAAAACCCACCAAAACGTTCTTCATTTATTTTCTCCTATGACTTTTACCAGACTCAG